TCCTCTGTTTGAAACATGTCCCTGCTCTTTTTGTGCGTTGAGTGTTGTTTTTTGGCCATCGTAGCTGTGTGACTCTAGTGATGGCAATGATGGTCAATGGTCCGGTCTAAAATATATCAACATCTACTGGATGGATTGGTATTGTATTTTTTTCAGAAATCCATTGTCCCCAGATGATGAACCACACGGTGGCGCTAGTATTTCCTTCTTTTCTCCTAGACACAAATGAGCTGCTTTTAATACCAAGGTGATCCTTTTCTCCCACTCCTCAAATTCATCTCAGGAGAAACAACCATATAAAATCTCATTTATGTCTGACTGATCAAAACAATAGATCTCTAACTGATCTTAAGTAGGTCTTGTTTAAGTCTCCTGAACATTGGGCCATGAGATCAGAGAAAGAGCTCAAAGAAAACTGAGCTATGACTCCTGGGATCTCATGATTCTTCTCAAATATGTCTCAGTTTTCTCATATTGGCCTCAAGAGCAAAAAACTCATCTCTGTCTTACTCTGATCAAAACAAGAGATCTCTAACTGATCTTAAATAAGTCTCCTGAACATTGGACCATGAGATCAGGGAAACAGCTCAAAGAAAACTCAGCTATGACTCCTGGGATCTCGTGATTCTTCTCAAATGTGTCTCAGTTTTCTCATATTGGCCTCAGGAGCAAAAACCCATCTCTGTCTTACTCTGATCAAAAGATGAGATCTCTACAGTATCCAAATAAGTGTAATTTCAGTCTCCAGAATGTGGATCAGAAAAAAAGCTCCAAGATATTTCTCAGTTTTGTCTTAGTGACCCCACTTAGGGGTTATTTTACTCAAGTACTTTACTTACGTCAAATGTTGAGGTTGAGTATTTTCTTTTTATGGGGGCTTTGTACTTTAATGCACTTTCAAATGTCATGCTTTCCAGTTGGTTAAGGTAGTCACAGCCAGCATAACTGGAACAGCCAATACTTTGACATGATGTTTAGAGATTAATTCTCATTAATGAGCACTTTTACTTTTGATATTTAAGTACATTCACTATGGAATACTTTTATACCTTTTATGTGAGTAGAATTTTGAGGACTTTAAATGTGGATATGGTATTTCTCCTCTTTTAAATGAAGAAAAATTGTATTCTATTTAAAGACAATAAGTCCTTCATTGTTAATTTTAGCTGGATAGCGCAGCAGCAGTGTAGTTGCCCTCTAAGGAGCAGGGTTCAAATCCAGCTCAGGGAAAGCCTCTAGCACAGTTCTCCAAGCACAGACAATAATGTAATACAAACATCTCCCCAGAGTTCCCAACTGCTTTTCAGGAGGAACTCAAAAAGATACAATGATGAGATCTCATCTGTTACTTTCATTTTTCCTATTGTAATCTCAATTCAGTATCCATTTCTCTTATCTAAGTCTCAAAACCTCAATCTCTCTTCATCTCATCCTTTTCTCCTGAGGGATTTTAGGAGCAACAGTTCAGATTGGAGTGATCTCAAAAAGATATACTATTGAGATCTTAGTTTTTTTTCTCAAGAGTTAAAGAAAAGAATATTAAAGATTTTTCCTCTGGGAAATGTCTCACATTTGGTTTATGACCAATAACCTGCAAAGATAATGATATTCCCATCAGCTTCAGGTTCACTTTATATTTGGAGCTAATAAGCAAATGTTTGCATGCTAACATATAGGCAAACTCAGATAATGAACCTGGTGAACATTACACCTAAATATCAGCATGTTGCATTGTCACTGTGAGAATGTTAGCATGATGATGTTAGCATTTAGCACAAACCACCTCTGTGCCTAAATATAGCCTCACAGTGCTGCTAGCATGCCCGTAGCCTCTTTGTCGCGTTATGTACTGTATTGTGGATGTACTGCATTTTATATTAAATATTAAAGAGTAAATCAACACCCCCTGAAAGTCTTGTTTTTGCTGACCTCCAGCTGTTTACCTTCACAACTTGCTACAGTGATGTACAGGTGTACTTCAGGACACTGTGACATCACTACTGGGCGAGGTCACAGGTTCACACTTCACACTTCAGACCACACCTATCAGGAATGCTGGCTGTGGTCAGAGGTGAAAGATACTTTCAACTTTCAACCAGAGAGGGCCGTGAAACACTTTAACGCCAGGTGTTACCAAGTTACTGTTTAATTTATCATATAAATATAAAAACTATTATTATCAGTCTTGTTTTTCTCTCAGTGCTCCTGTTTCCTCCTGCAGGGGAACTGGAGACTATAAACTACCCCTAGGTGTTTATGTGTGTTTTATCTTTGTGTTATCTGTCCAGTATGTGTCCCTGCTGTTTCTGTTGGATGAATTCCTGTGTCAGTGGGACGTTAGACTGAAAAACAGCAATAATGCTTTGGCTATGTCACTCCTACGTGATAGTGCAGAATGGAGCCTTACAATGCCTCCACCAACTGGAAGACAGATGGCCCTGGCTCGCAAAAAGCCTTCATTTGTTATTTGGAATCAAAAGTGATGCATAGCTTCACTGGTGTAACTGAACAAGTCCTTCAAGTCTTCTCAGCAGAACTCTACACTTTGAAAAGTGGGGAGGAGAGGCTGCAAGGCATTTAAACATAAACAATTCCCATAATCCAGCTCTCTGACGGTTTCATTGGACCAGATTATATACGAGGCAGTTTAGGAAATTGAAAATGTCCTGATTTAAACTTGTTAAAACAGTGGGTCATGAAGTGGGTCAAGGCGACGTTAATGGCCAGGATCAATGAAGCTCCTCTATGATAAAATGCTAATCAAACTTCCTTAGCTTCTGCAGAATTAGTCTCCTGTCTGTCTGTAGACGGCAGGTAATCAAAAAAGTCATTAATGAAAATGAAAGAATACTAGAGGAGACTGTGAGGAGTCCTTCATTTCCAGAGAGGAGCCTGTTTAATTATATTATCAATCATTCACATTAATTCTCATAACAATATGTGACACGTGTGACAAATATCCATTTAATTGCATGTGCTGCTTATCTAATGCCAGTGAGAGCAGATAAATCACAGAAAAAAGCATTGTTGTGCAGAGACTAAAGCTTTGCACAATGGCACAAAAGTTCCACACTTAGGCACACAGTATGCAAAAAAAAAAAAACAGCTGATCAATCCGACTGGTTTACACAGGGGCTTTGAAAGAGATGGAGAGAGCAGCACTGCAAGGGTAGAGGACTCATCATTATCTCTACAGTCAGACGAGGAACCTGCTCTTGCAGCGGCGGTCAGTAATTTGGCCATCCTGTTACAGCGGCTCACCAAAGGCAGAATCAGCAGAGTCTTGTCTGTCCCTTTTCCCTCAGCATTAATAACGCTCCCACCTCTGGAAAGCCATCGCAGATGTTATGCACACCAGGCAAAGACAAACCGTTGCAACACCAGTCCAAAGATAATCCATCTTCAGGGTCTCTTATTTCACACCTTTGTACAGATGTGTGAGCGGAGCAGAACAGAGAGGCTGAGAGCTGAATGTTACAACTGCAAACTGGTGTATGTTTTTTACCCAAGAGGCTTTCAACATCATGAGAAGTTACATTTTTAGCATGTGCAGTGCATCCTTTGGGAATAAAGCCCCTAACCCTGGCACCGTTAATACCATGACCTGCCCACTGGGCTACACAGAACTGTAACACTGACTTTGACACTAATTTGACACTAATTTGAAGGTGGTCTTATTTGTCCCTTTTTATCCCCCATTTTGTCAGAAACGCACAGATTGTGGAGAATTTTAATGCCTTTCAGTTACTGTTCAACATTTTTTAAACAATTTTTACAGTTTTGGTTCACCCTCGCTGCTTTCACCAGTTTACAGCAGGCATCTGTTTCCAGTGATAAACCTGCTGTACGATACCACATAGCCCTGAACGACAGACATGGTTAGCAGTTAGCCGGTGAGCATAGTGGAGTATTTAGCAGCCAAAGAGCTAGATATTTAGTTCAGGAGTTGGTGGAGACCAGCTAAAAAACAGAGTGAATGTTCATCAGGTGGATACTTGACTCCAAATAAATGCAATTTTTGCTCCACATCTAGTGGGTGCGTAAGTAGACAACTGTTTGCTGCTAAGTTCACCATAACAACTTTATAAGGTGATCCTATGACAGCAACAAACATCTAATGCAGCTCAAGATTCAAGATTCAAGACTTTATTGCCATTTATTTGGAATTTGGTGCAGTGGGCTCACTACAACACAGAAGTGTAAAAACATACACATAACCCCCCATTCCTTTTTGACCACCCACACACAAGCATACCATTTTAACAGAGATAATAAGTTAAATAAACATAATAGAAAAGAAAAAGTAGATTGCCAGTGCTGTAGCTCACCCTGCAAGTCAGTAGTCAGAGGATCCATTTAGTAGTGCTGTAGAGGAAGCGTGTTGTTTTGGATTTCAGGGATTTAAGTCTTTTCCCTCAGGGGAGAGTCACCATGTCTGTTATCAGACATCTTGGGCACGCTTAAATGTAGTGTAACAGAAGCACAAGTAGACAAAAGGTATGCAATCAGCAACCTTACTCATTAATCTCAGTTCCACTGCATCTAATTTAAAAATAGCTACCATTAGCTAATGTTACCAACCACAAGGTTGCGGTTATATCAGACCACGGTAGAAGCAAAAAATCCCAGGATGTATTGAACTGAGCAAGGGCATGTTTTACTTGATTTATGAATTCATGATAAAATGAATGATGGCTGAATGCCGATTAGATTCTTTGGTTTCAGGGTTCTGGTATTGTGCATGCTGGGATATGTTAATAATAACAGTAACATCATTTTAAAAGTTAATATAAGACAGTTCCTAGCGACAGCCCCCTGGGAGCTCAAAATAAACCTGTGGGCTCATCTAGACAGGTACACTGATCAAGCAAACCTCAGCATTTACACTTTTACTGCAATAACACAAGACAGGCCGTATTTGAGCCATGTCGTATTTAATCTATTCACACAGGTATGGTGTGTAGTATTTAAAAGAATGCAGGTCAAATGCAAAGACAATATAAAATTGAGGAACTGAAACATTTTATTAAGCAGAGAATACATTTTCCTGAACAGGTAGCAAAGGATAAATACTTATATACTATTATTATAATCTTTATGATCATCATTTTTAATTTTGTTGACAAGTAGCCACGATGCAAGTAATTTCAAATTACTCAAAGGACAAAGAAATGATAATAAAAACTTGTATATCCGAACAAAACTGAAAATACAGTTGGTGATGGGGATTTGCTGCTGGAGTTCTTCATTGCTTCCAGCTTTCTTTAGAGAGGCGAGACCAAGAACTCAGTGTGACCTTGTTTCTATTAGATATCTAGATTAATACCTTGAATAACACTGAACTCAGCGATTTAACAGCAGGTAATTATCGCTATGAGTGTTAAATCTACAATGTAAGACATGGAACTTACAGTAGGTCTACCTTGAAACCAAAATCCAAAATGAAAAATCAACTCATTGAGCTCAGATATGTTCGAGGCTGTGTGCGGTGAGAGCGAACGTTCCTGTGAGGACTTTGTGAAAGTGGGTATGTTGGGATTCAGCAGTGAATACGCTCAAGCTTCATTCTGGCACATAATGTGTTATGCCAAAAGCACAGAACAGACAGAACCTATAAAACTAAGTGGACAGACTGCGGAGTCAGAATGTGAACAACATGCCAGAAACAGACAGGGAGGAAAGAAACCACATAGCATGTAGCCCCAGGAATATCATCTACACCAACACAAAATGCCGCTTAAGATGCACCGTCATCTTTAAACAAATACGGCTTCAGCACCCTAAGCAAACTCTTAGATTTTTAATTTCTGATCCAGTGTTAAGGCACATACTTTTGCTTAGCAAATACAGAAATATAAATGATCTTTGGTAAAAGACTTTACAAAAATGTACTGCAATGACACAAGAGATACAACAGTCATAAAATATCAAAGGTGCTGCTGCTTTAAATGCTAAACAAGTGAACAAATAGCATCTTTCCAATTTTCCATACTTCCACTAGTTAGTTTGTGCATGATGGCAAGGACATCATGTTTCCTTTCAAAAGTGTGAAACGTTTCATACTGCATCCGAGCACAGAACAGTACTCAATGGCAATTCTAAAATAATGCTTTCAAAGTGCAAATTTAAGTCTTAAAGCCGCATATATTTGGGATTCTTTCACCATTGAGTTCCCGGGTTACAGCTGAGCACCAGCAGTACAAAAGATTAGACTGGGCTGAAATGAACTCTTCAAGTAAACTTGTTTGTGAAACATAATGGTAGCTTGTTGTCAACCTACTGTACAGTGCTTTAAGGAATAGGTCAACACTTTGGGTAGAGTTAGAGGACAAGACTGATACCATTGTTATGTCTGTACACTAAATACAACCTTACCATAGCTTAGCATAAAGTCTGAAAAGGTGTGGAAACTGTTAGCCTGGCTCTGTCCAAAGGTTAAACAAAATCCGTAAAACTGGAAAAAAAAATTAGTGAGCTTTAGAGCAGCTGGTAGGCAGATTTGGTTCACTTTGGGCAGAGCTAGCTGCAAGCCATGCTAGCTGTTCCAAGTCTTTCTGCTATGCTATGCTAAGCGTCTGCTGGCTCCAGCTTCATTGATTGATATCAGTCTCATGTTTGTAAGTTAAATATGAATCTAAAACCAGATAAGACTGGAAGCTGGGGGAAACAGCTAGCCTGGCTCTGTCCTAAGGATACTAACACTTGCCCACTAGCACTTGTAAAGCGCACTATTTAAGACGCTATCTTTTGTTTATTCCAAACAAAAACTGTAGTGGTTTTATGCTGGACTATTTCTTGGTCGGGAGCAACAACTTCCCAGAGGTTCCGCTGGTTGAGGCAACAACAGGAAGGTTTTGTACAGATTAAGCAAACAGGACATGTCAATTAATCGTCTTTAGAGGAGCTTGAAGAGGATGATATACACAGAGGCAGGCTAGCTGTTTCCCCCATTTCTAGTCTTTCATGCTAAGCTAACTGTTTCCTGACTAACTTCATATTTAACAGACAAGACATGAAAATGGGATCTCTTGGTAAGGAAGCAAATAAAGATATTTCCCAAAAGGCCAAACTATTCTATTAATGTGAAACATGCTGGCAATATTAAAACAGATCCAATGAGTCAATGGACACGGACACACACTCACAAAGTTACACACACATCCACTCAAACAGAGCATAATTTCTGGTTCTTTTCTGATTCTTGGTGTATTAAGACTACAATTTCTCAACAACTCTCATAATTATTCAGTGGAATGTGACAACAGCTATAAACACACTTTTCAGTCTTTAAAAAATTAGCAAAAAGTTTACAGCAAATCCAGCAACGGGACTGAAATGTGTACAAGCCAATGCCACTAATTGCTGATATATGTAAAGATAAAACTCTTTGAGAATCTGCACTGAAACAAGTTTCTGTGGGGATTTAAAACATACATAAATGACTCTTCTCGGGAATATCCACACTGATTCAAGGCCACAGTGGCATCTGATCCAGGTTTTAATGCATTTACAGGCAAAGCTGATTTCAGTAAGAGAGAAAACAAACTCCCAAATAAACCAGCAGTGGAATGTCTCGACTCTGATCTTCCTTACACAGTGACCTGATCAAGCTCTGAGATGCATCTTTGTGAGAAAAAAATAAAAATAAAATCCCAGGATAAAAAAAACAAACAAATGTCAGATATTCCAGTTCTTCCATCTCCCAAACCCTGAAAATATCTTACGTTTTCAACTTCCAAAATATAAAGTACCTATATGTATCTTTTATAAAAGAATCTCCTTGAAAAATACAATAAAATTAGACTTTAAAAAACTATTGTGCAAATTGGAGTTTGAGTAACATACTTAAGACTGTATGACATCACAAGGTGGTGTGCAGCGACTGTTGTGCCCCCTGCTCTGTCCTCTGTGCTGGGTGAACGCTGTGGTCAGACTTTAGTGTTTCCTCAGAGTTCCTCGTGTATTTGACACACTGGGAGTCTCCATCAGGGGGCAGGTTCAGCTGGACGCTGTCTGTCTGTGTGAGCACGGGCGTGGAGGTGATCCAGCTGGACCCGCTCAGATCTGACGGCTCTAAAGTCTTATCTAGAACCTCCGAGTCTTTGGTGGAAGGAGGCTGTGGCTCCCCCGAGAATGGAGGTGTGTCTTTGGTGTAAGGAAGTGTGTCTATTTCTGTAGGACCTAATGTGGAGACATCTGAAAGGCCCATCTCACTGTCTGTCTGTAAAACAGGCCCCTGTGATGTCTTGGATCTGGGAAGGCTCCTCCGGTCTTTTTTATTGCAACCTTTAGGGGAGGGCTTAGTGAGGGACAGGAAGGGAGGCTTGGGGCTGAGCGGTGACCCCACCTTCACCCTGCTGAGGCTGAGGATGTTCCTGCGGGTTTCAGCAGGGAGTTTATCCAACTGTCGTCCAACTTGGACTGGGCTGGGAAACAGCGTGCCTTGACACGCCCTGTAGAAGTATCTGGAAAGTAGAACAAAGCCAGACATCAGGACACACAATCATTAAAAGGCATCTGGTACAGATCTAATTCATGGCACGGGTCATAAATATTTGAGAAACGGGCTTTTGTATTCAGTCAAGCACAAATGAAGCACAGTGTACCTGGGCAGCAGTGCTGCTACTGGCGTGACGACACAGAGCAGGTAGAAGAGGGGGTCCGGCAGCAGCCTCTGCATGGTCCAGTAGGGGTTGGAGGGAGAGTAGCAGGTGGGACAGGAGGCATTGTAACACAGAGCAACTGTGAAGAATAAGGCTATGCTGAAGGCGATAGACAACCAGTTCATCCAGGTCTACAGGAGAAGAAGACACAGAGAAGTATTATCATTTCTTTCTTTTTTCTTTTTTGTGTGAAAAACACTTGATTTAGTAAAAGACGAAGAATATAAAAGTCAGTGTTAGATATCACTGCTGATACTTTTGTACACTTATAACGTTATTATGTTATAAAGAAAGGAATACTGATTAACACAGCTGATAACACCACCAAGCCATCCACAGACATCCCTGCCCCCGCAAAGTATTACAAAAATGTATCACTAAATAGTGCATTACCTCGATTGATAACTCAATACAATGGCAACTTTAACAACAAGAGTTAATCCATGGCGAATGTTAATTATTAATAACGGGATGACATTTTAGGATTTATGTTGACTTGAAGATATTACCTGCAGCTCATCATCAACAGTGACCCCCAAACTGACAACTTAGACAGCGGACCTCCTTTTGATACGATTTTGTCCCATGGTCGCCCATCTGATAGGATTTTGACTTTTAGATGTTTTATTACAAAAAATGTATGAAACCCATTACCAAAACAGTCATACATTCTGTCATTGTGTTACAGGATGGAATTATAGTGAAAATAAATGATTCCCCTTGTTGCTTGGGACCCCCTGGAGCCCTAGCTTTATGCAGTGCGCAGCCATGTTATGTGTAGGAATACGGAAGTTCTATAGCTGACAAAATGTAGTTCCAAAGGAAATGGCAGTCTGACGGTAAAGTAAAGCACCGGGAATATTCTAAATACAGCGTACACTTGAACTGATTTTTTTCTGTGGCTAAAATACGCTTTGCTGCTGACCCTGTCCACAGTAGTACATTGCTTAGCTTCTGTCCTAGTATAACTCTCGTTCTTCAAACTGGGGACATCTACTGCAGGTAATACACTGACCACTGAAAAGTACCTCATACTGCCCCAACGCAATATCAAACCGAACTACCCCTTTAATCTCCAATATCACTGCTCATAAGACGTATATTTTAACACCATGTAGTCACAGTTCTGGCATTAGCTTTGTTAAACTGCATCTCCGCTCTCTTAATTACATCCACGATTCCCTCACTTGCAAAGAGAGAAGAAAAGAGGAAATATGTTTTCAGAGAAATGAGACGTCCTTTGCCCCCGAAGCGTCACATTAACTGGCATCCATTTGTGATGACGGCAGCAGCTTATCACAGCTGGATCGGCCGCCAGCAGGCTATAATAACTGTAGACAGGGTCATTTCTACTAGCAGAATGTGTTTACATCATTTATTCATTATCTGCATTTGTATTTATTGATATTCTGATTCTGAAGTCATTATACTTAATAACTTAGAATCACGGTGATCATGATGTCTTTTACATTTTTAGGCTAAATGTTTCAGGGGAAATTTAAATGATTTAACTCATATCATAGCCGACGCTCAGGAATAATTAGCCTCACGTGACTGAATGGAAATGACGATAAATTACGTAAAAAATGATTCTTGCAGACAGACCGACTCGGACTTTCTCTGACTTTAACGTCCACAACAAGAAAATGGGGGAAATAAAAGCTCATGAACAGAAAAATCTTTCAAATAAATGAAGAAAGTTGTTCGTGCTTCTTTTGATGTTCAGAGTTGCACAGGTTTTAACTAGATGGTGAATCAGAAAAAAATATAAAACTTGTGAGTGAGACACTCAGTTTAATCTGTTAGCCGTCTTCACTCCGATATGAAACTCCAGTGATGTTGTGATGGATCAGATCAGTGCGATCAGCAGCAGTGTCCAATCAATAACTGATATTCCATAAGGGGGCGTGTCAGCCAGTAAAAGACTTCCGTGGAGGCTGCTCTAGTGTGACCTCTCATCAATCCTCGCTCCTCAGCGCACAAATAAGAGCTCTGGGACAATCTGCAAGATGGCCGACCAGAACGACTTCAGGTTCAAGAGAATTAAGATTCCCCTAGAGTTCTGATGTTAGGGCTGTTATAAACAAAACTAACACTGGCAAACCATTTGAGTCTTCAAGAAAAATTTTGTTTTAGTAATCTGGGTGTGTTTTTCTAGTATCAGCCATACTTGCTGGAATCTGAGGATGTGGCAAAATCGCTTCAACAAAGTCCAACAGGGCAGGAAGGGAGTCCATTTATCACACAGGTTGTAAACAAACCCCCATTTAGCCATACTATCTTGAATACTTATTTAGAAATTAAACTCTAGTCGAGTCAGTTCGCACACAACTACAATTACTACTGTGGATCTTTACAATTTCATGGATGTTTTATGGTTTTATGTACACCAGACTGAAATATAATTTTAAAGTAGAATACTTTTTTTTATGGCCTCTTAGGAGCTGCAGAACAAACTGTAAACACAACATGGTATTGCGTATTGCTTTATATGACAAACAAACAGCTTAGTAAACAGCTGCCTCCTTCCACATGTAGTGACAGTAACACTCCAGTTAAAGTTTATTTGTTTATAGTCATCTGACAAATGTAACTCCTGAAGGACAAATCTGCCTCTTTAGCTGCTAAATGCTCAATACACTTTGAATTGCCTTGTTGTTGAAATGTGCTATTCAAATAAACGTGCCTTGCCTTGACTTTTCTTTCCCACAAATGTATGATAAAACGGGGGGGTTTAAATAACATACATTTTTCAGTAATAGTTTGTTTGCAACCTGCCTCGTGTTTCATGCCATGTTGGACCAAGGTTACCTAAAACCAGAATTTATCTTTGAGCATGTATATAAACCAGTAAATGTAATCAAAAGGTATAAATATAAGCATTCTGCACACTAAATAATTTAGATGGAGATATGAGTTCCTGCGCTCTCTAATGAGTTTTGGCAGTTAGAGCACTAACTGCACTCGTGCCACCCCGAGGCCTTCTTAATTTCACTGATAGACATCTGACAGAGTGAATTCTATACAATGAATTCACTGGAGTATTGTCCCTCCTGACACACAAGCACGTACAGGAGCGCATAATTAATTACTGCCTCACAGCTACTGTATGGGCGAAGTGAAAGCGTGCTGCCTGCTGTCACCTCAAATACCTTTAATTGACTTTCACAGCCGATTACCAATCATGCATGCATTATGTTCCTGAGCGGCCAGAGAATGAAGTACCTGCCATCTGAGCATTTGGAATTGTTTACCTTCGGTCGATGTTGCTCACCATGAATACTTCTATGCACGAGGGGCCATCATGTCCAGGAAGGCAGTTAGTGAAAAGGACATTTTTCATGTACAAAACTTGTCAGGCTAAATTTACAGCCTCAGCATAATGGAAAAGACTGTGATTCAGTGCAGGGTCATAAATTTAAAATGGCTCATGACCAAGACTGCTGGGCCGTTTACGGGAACCTCACGTGGATACCTGAGAATAAAATCGAGGCAGAGAGGGGGAATAAAATAAACAGATATTTAGGAGCTCTGTGGCACTGTGAAGTGGTGTTGTGGTGTGATGTGGTGGAGACAGTTTGCGCAGGGCCTGGACAGATGCAGACACGCTATCAAGCTGATATATAGGCTCTAATGTTGCAGAGCTTTCTGGTTCAATCTAATCAGCTGGAGTTAAATATCCAGCCTTCACACCAGTGCTCTCACAAAGCCATGCTGATTTGAGTGAGAAAAAGCAGCGCTGAGAAGTGAAGAAATCTTTGAGTATTGACATCAGTGGGTCCAAAATGAGGTTCCTTACCCAGGTTTTGGTCTCAATGCCCAAGTGCACCAGAATGGTGAGTAATGCGAGGGTGGTGATGGGAGTTCCCCATGTAAACAGATCCACGTCAGAGTCAGCGTAGGCCTGGGGAGGAGAAGAAAAAGAAGAACGGGAGGAGGGCCCAAAAGAGCGGAAATGATAACTAAGCAAGAGCAACAAGGAATTTCGGAGTGAAGACGAACTGATGGAAATTAAAACCAGACTCACAAAGTAAGGAATGAAGAAGCAGACCAGACTTTGGTAGAAGGCATCAATCATGTTCATCCAGAACATATATGGCTTATATTCCTGTGAGATGAAACCAGAGATTTACCGTCATGAACCTCATCAATTTCACTGAGCAGAGGTTGAGATTATACCAAGGTGCAGTATAATATAAATATAGTGTCATGAATCATAAAGTTGAAGCTGAGCTTTCAACATCACTAATGATTAACAACATATAAGTCTATAAGTCTGCTATGTTCTTCTTAATCGATTCAACATTGCCAGCAAAAAAGTGTGCATTTCTTTAGCTTTTTACACAATCTACACAAATTTCATGAATTCACAAAAAAAGTCAGGCTACTTGTAAGTTTTACTATTTTTACAACAGAAATGAAAGAGTCAAGTCATTTCAAAGTCATTTCATTTCATTTAGCAGGAAAAATGTTTGCGGTTTCCTTTGTGTGAAGAGGCCCAAGAATGAAAGTCTCCTGCCGTGCTGGCAGCTCTGTGAGGCTGTACATCGGCCAACGTCAGCATGCTAGCATGCTCAAAAAGACAACGCTAGCATGGTGATGTTTAGCAGGTAATGTTTACAGTGTTCAGAGATCTGTTAACACTAAACGAAGAGGGACAAATACACAAGGAGACCGGACCTCGGAGTTCTGGCCGTTCACATAGAGCTGAGGTAGTTGTTTGAGAGTCTCTGCTGACACGTCTTTGTCCAGAGTGCCAGTGATAAGTTGCGGGAAGGCGGAGAACATCAGGTTGAAGAAGATAAGATACCACTGGTCAATCATGGCTGAACCTGAGAATCCACAGTAGAACTGATACCAGAAGATAAGCGCTACAAACATCTGTGGGAACAAAAGATAACAGGGGATTAATTCACACGAGGAGGCGGGACAGAAAAACAAGAAAACACGCTTTTTTGCGGGACTTTACTTCTTTATTTGTCGACTGATCTAAATCCCATTCTTGCTGACCCTGAACATTTGTGTCTGCACAGGTGCAGCGAGATGAGTGTATAAAGAGGTAGAAGCGGCTTACGGCATTCTTGTAGAAGAAATAGAGAATCATGTTGGCCAGTCGGGAGTAGCACCAGTGTCCGTGGACCAGCAGGAGCTTCTGGAGATACCGGAAACGTGGGAGAGCAAAGTCACTCGCCATCACCGCCTGCAAAACACCAGAAGGAGCCAACGTTCAATCCATCCTGTGCTTTCTCTCTCCCTCTTACCATCAACACAAACACACACACACACACACACAAACACAAACACACACACACATTATTAGAAAAATAACTGTAGGAATTGGCCAGCGCTGCTACACTCGCCTGCCTCCTTTTAATTAATCTTTAGTGGGTATCATCTTTCCAAAAGCAATAACGCTTAAACGAGGCCACCTTTTGGGATTCATCGGCACAGCGGCAGGAAAACTGTCAGTCTCATCCATCATCATCTAAAACAAACCCCTCCCTGTAGTCGCGCCGGGTTTATAACCTACATTTTAAACGGCGCCGCTAACCCTGTATGACACATCTCAACTGTCAACGTTATTTGTCAACAAGAAGAACAGCGGCAGATGCCTCGTCGTGGTGCAATCGAGGTTCTGCTGTGCTCTCGTAACGGCCTCATAACGGCTACACGGGGGACTGCGCTCCGGGTCGGAGGAAGGTATGTTAATCATAATACAGTGTGTGCTGGCCTGAGCGCAGAAATGTGCGCGTCTCAGCACACTATGGAATCCCAACGAGTGGCCGCTGTCTCATTAGGAGCAAATTTGATTAACGATGATTAATCTAGCGGCCCCAGTTAAGGACAGGATCCTGAGACTTCAACAGATGTGCTACACAGCAGAGCGCCTCCGAAGCCTCCCCTGGAAGTTAATTGGGAATCTCAATCATTGCTATGCAAGATCACCTTTCCGGAACAGGGTGCTTGGGTGAAATGAGCATGGGGGAGGGGTTTAATATTAGTTTTTTTTAACCAAACTTTTGCCAGCAGCCTTGACTTTGGCACTGGCTGTGACCATAGATCAAGGAGAGAAGCTGGTGTGGATGGAATCTAGAGTAAAGCACCTATAAAGTGTCCTGCTTCACTGCAGGACACAGGACAGGCTTCCTGACTCAGCACCACACAGGTAATACTATTTAGAAGATGTGTATGGATGTGGGCTAGAACACGCCCTTAAGAGTAATGAAAATCCATTAGTTATGCTAAAGAACGCTAGTGTCTTCCCTTATTCCCCTTATCTTCTATCCCATAGCACCTCTTGCTCCTCTCAACCTCCCAGGAGCTCTCATATTGCATTTTATTACGATCCCCTTCAAGTCACTCCCCCACCCCCCCTTTCCTGTACGGTCCCGTCCAGATTTCTCCTTACCTGCATGCCCTCCTGTCCCGAGATGCCCACACCGACGTCCGCCACCTGGATCATGCTGACATCATTGGCCCCATCACCTAAGATTAATGTTGTGCGAGAGAGAGAAAGTAGTCCCTCAGAGTAGGAAACTGAGTACACAGCCTCAAGATACATTAATAAACTGTAATCAGGAGATCGGCACGGAATCATTTTGCCAGCAGCCTGGAAGCAGAAAGAACTTTATTGAGCGTGCTGTATTGTGATGTACGTGGGAGGAACGTCAAGCTTTCACAGAGCTGTCAGTTTCTTCAGCCGTTATATTAGCTCTGTGTGTGTGTGTGTGTGTGTGTGTGTGTGTGTGTGTGTGTGTGTGTGTGTGTGTGTGTGTGCGCGCTGCTTCTTGTCAGATGCCCTTCACCAGCTCAACTGTCGTTCTGGTTAGGTAGAGCCAGGCCTGCTGTGGTGGCTGACGAGCAGTGCTTTTGTTTTTGCCCTGTTGAGGGCTGCGGATTCTTCTTTTCACCACGGCTGAAGGGAGTGGGAGATGAAAGCGTTGGTGGGCAGAGAGCGTTTTATTGCCACAATAGTAAACAGGACTGGAGTGGCAGCGTCGGCTGAATATGAAAGGTAGGTGGGCGCTCAAAGAGAGGTTACCCGTTTGTGTTGTGCTGGCAAAGGACAAAATCTATCCAAACACGCTAGTACTGCAGCGTTGCAATTGTCAATTAGGACTTATTTCTACAGAAATGCAGCTTCTTGCACACCTCACACTGATGTGTAGGACTATGGAACCCCAAAGTGTTCAATATCAACTTAAAACCAACTTTCAGCAAGCTAGCCAGATCGCGTAGGCTACAACAACCAAAGAGAAGTAAGTACTGTATGTCTACTATATTCACATTTGTTGCATCTTTTTCTTGCTTACTGTAAACCCTCTCAATTGCAGTTGAAAGAAAACAAATTACACTTTGAAATGTTCCGTGAGGACATACAGACCACAGAAGGTGGAGGGATCCATTCTTGTTAGCGGTCTAACAGCAGATGAGGTCTGAAAACGTTGTAACGTTACGCTCAGAGTGACCTTAAGCTTAATCATCATCTGCTGTCCCCACAGAGAAATAAAAAGAGTGTGAGAAGCTGCAGTGTTTCCTCCACATTACTGCTAACATAACAATGACAGAAAAGCGCTTGACTGGCAAAAACGGGATCCTCCTGAGAGCAGCAGGAACAAATGAGGAAAAGGCCATTAGAGGTCACACGGACACCCTCGTTTCATCTCCATTATGCTACAGCTTCATTAAGCCAAAGTGTATAATTACAGATGGGCCTTAAAATAACACTGTTTTCACTCAGTGGTCACAGCAGGGATGCAGGTGTGTGATGAGTGTGCACTTAGTTCTAAAATTTCAAATCAACCCATACTGATAGCACGGCAAAAGGAACATCCAGCTTCACTACACCTGTGTTCCAGTGAGTAGCCGCATTGATACTCATGATAATAGTGACATGACGTAGGAACACATCTTATCAATCACTGAACAGGAAAAAGATCTAATATCTTCTTGAAGACTTTGGGGAATTTGTTTAAGTTTGTCTGTGTACAAATAATCACTGCTGCAAGGTTATATGACAGCGACGCACTGTAGGAGCTCACTGAATTATGAATATTTTTCATTTGTTCAAAATATTTTAGCTTTTGACACTAAAATTATCAGCTGCTCCGGTCTTTGTTTAGGACACAGAGTACATAAAGTACCTTGTGACTGGGAGGTTGTCCGTTTGACCTGCAGAAAGATCTGGGTGGGGAACGTGAAAGGGCAGCACTTGCAGCTCTGTCAGTTATCTTCACATAACTTTCACTGAATCTCTGAATCTCAAATCTCAATCTCAATTTCTGATTAAATTTAAACCCTGGTCCCCGTTACGCCTCACAAACAACCGGACACAACACCTGTCTCACCAATTTAATAAAAACAAGTTTGTTGCAGTGACAGAGGTGAGGCTCAGCAAAAGGCCGAGTTATGGCATGAAAAAGCAAACTAGTTAGCATTCTGGGGAGGCGCCATGATCATTAAAGTAGTCACAACTTTTTGAGTCTGCTGAGTTTCTCAGGTGAAGGTGAAGGGCCTCAGGCGAGGAAAGACACCTGTCAGCTCAGTTTCACGAGAATCCCCAGTCGCTCGACTCAAGTTCTGTCCATTTTGGATATAAAGAAATGAAAAACTGTAGGTAAGCTGGAGTCTTTTTTTTTTTTCGCCTGTCAGCAGCTGTGTGCAGTGGCTCAGGCGTGTTTTGATCTGTCGGGATGCTACTAGATCTTACAACCTGATGACAGCCTAAAGGTTCAAGACTACAGTTTACAGTTTAATGACGTTTAGTTCCTATTAGCCTCTAACCTAGTCTGTTTGTCTTCAGAACAGGACTGGAAGTTGATTTACAGTTATTTGTTCACTATTTGACAATTTTGACATATATGGAACGATGCAGCGCAGAACATCCATATCAGTTGCACACAGGTGATCTCCAGGCGGGCCATGAACATTGGGCACTTTCTTTCCACTGGCAGTCAAACATCTAAAGCATCTGGGTCAAGAGTTCAAATAAAAAGGGGTGTTATATGAATGTGTGGCTTGTGGATCTTGAACCTTTACTCACCTATTGCTAGAGTCATGACCTTCAGCTTGTTCCGCACCAGTTTGACCACCATGCTCTTCTGCAGCGGCGTGGAGCGGCAGCAGAGAACTGAGCGGCAGCTCCGCGCCACCGCCAGGAACTTATCCTCCAAATTCTTATCCAGGGCATAGGCCAAGGTCCGCCCGTCAATTACCAGGCCCAGCTGGTGCACCATGAAGGGTGCGGTCTGGGAGGACGAGGATGGAGATGAAGACGGATAGATCTCAAAGGGTGCTAAGTTATTGTGGAAGGCCTTGGCGGCGTGGTCTGTCGAGCTGCAGAGGAATTTGGCTTGGATGTAGTGTAAACTCTCCTCCAGCAACAACGCACACGCCTCCTGGTTCAGAGACAGGCACAGAGTGGACTGGAATTCAGGATCAGGTCACTAAGCTGTTTAATATAACATTGCCTGACCTGCTACACATCTGGCAAACAGATGCTTCAACAGCACAGATATAAACATTGTTGGTCCTCAAATGACCGTCCAATCTCATTTTTTTAACAAAGGTGTTGTTTTCAGTGAGTACAAGGACAATATTGTGTTGAAGATTATAGACAATTTGGGAAACACGCATGTTCACTGTCTTGCCAAGAGTTAGATCGTTACCACTCTCATGTCTGTGCAGTAAATATGAAGCTACAGCTGGCAGCCTGTTAGCTTAGCCACAAAACCACAAAGTGTCGTTATTACACTTCAACAGCAGAAAAAGTTCATTAGTAGCTAATTAGGCTAGCTCTTTTTCTTTTTGTGTTTCCAGTCTTTATGCTAGGCTAAGCTAACTAGTTGCTAGCTGTAGTTTCATATTTACTGTACAGACACGAGAGTGGTATCGATCTTCTCATCTAACTCTCCACAAGAAAGACAAAGAGCATTTCCCTAAATTGTTGATCTGTTCCTTTAAGAAGACTGTATACAAATTACTCAATCAGGGGAAAAACTACGGCATAAAGATCAATCATTTTATTTTGCATCTATCAACTATATTTTAGTAGCCAACCCAAGGGACGTATATGTTCTAAGAGTATACAGCCATGCTGGCGACCTGTGGTGCTGTACAGTGGCGCTGTGAGCTAAATGCCAACCTCAGCATGCCATCATGGTCACAATGACAATGCTGATTTTTAGCAGCTAGTGTTTACCAACGTAGTTTATTTTGTTAGCATGCTATTATACGCTAACTGGCATTTAAGACAAAGAACAGCTGATGTTGATGGGAATGTCATTAGTTTTGCAGGCGTTGAGTTATACAACAAAGTATTGGTGAAAAACTGAAATTTTGGCCTGATGGTGATGCTAGAGGAACTGTCAGGGGATCCGCAAAGTTAAAAGGACTTGGATATATGTACCAAGTTTCATGGCAATCCATCTGATAGTTGGTGAGATATTTCAGTCTTGAGTCGCAGACCGACTGACCTACAACATTTCAGTGCATTACATTTTTTGTCTTTTCAGTGAAGCAAGTCTGAGTTTCGCTTCTGTGCTCACCTGAGAATCAGCATTCAGTGTCAGGATCTCCTCCTCAGGGTCCAGCAGCTTGCAGGCGTATGCAATATTGACGGCCGTCTCCTGTTTGTCGCCCGTCAGCACCCAAATCTGCAGGCCGGCCTTCCGCAGAGAATCTATGGTTTCAGGCACACCGTCCTGCAGCCGGTCCTCAATGCCCGTCGCTCCTGTGGGCGAAGGAGCATGACAGTGACACACTCTCCAACATCCGCACCACGAGCAACACAAAAGTAATATTGTGTACAAAGTAAAATGAGTATTAAGGTATAATCTACAAGTGTATTGCGGCTGAGGCGTCTTTTTGGAAGACCTAAACAAAATAAACAAACTATTACCCAGAAGCTGGAGGTTTGTCTCCAGTCGCAGGGCCGACTCAAAAAGCAGCTCCTCTCTTCCCTGGATGGCCGTCTCAGCCTCCAGGTGATGCTGCAGCCAGCAGGCATATTGCTCTTTGCTCAGAATCTGACACAGGAACACAAACACACACCATCGTCTGTTCAAGTATTTGGGTAAATTTAACAGCGGAGCAGCTTCTTCTCCTTTGCCTACATGGCAGAAGAGAATCCACAGAAGCATGTGAGACCTTGAGAAGGTGTTTTATCACATCACTTAGGTGACTGGCTTTGCACATGTAGGGATATAATGAGCCCGGCTTGTGACAGCATAAATTAACAGCCTGGGAAAGTGGCACAGATTGCAGCTGAGTCACAAAGAATGTCACTTTGGAAGGGCCGGCCCATGTGATCATCTGTGCTGGGCTACAAACACAACCTGCCAAAAAGCCAGAGACACATCTCCAACTTCTAAGGCAGTTTCATGGGCGGTGAAGAGACAGAGAGAGAGAGAGAGAGAATTTATCCAGCACTTCTTAAGGAGGTTTATGGATCCCTGTCACCTTTTTTGCAATGCACAGTGTGCGAAGGCCATCTGCAGCATACAGGTTCAGGTAGTTTTGGGTCCGGTTGACAATCTTTTTCTGGCGTTTCCCTTTGGAGTTTCCTTAAAAATAAATAGGACAGCACACATAAATGAAGATTAAATATCCTTGTTTTTAGGAAATTTGCATAAGTTGTTTAGCATTTTGGTTCCAGATTGCCAAAGCCTTCTTCCAAGAGGCACATGAAAGCCATCTGTCTTCACACCTAAATTAACCATGTATGCTGCGCCTCTATGTATTCCCACCAATTAGTCATCTGGACTATACTGGGCAAAATGTGATAAGGAGATTATCTATCTCATTTTACAAACATAATTAAATCTATTTCAATTGGCGGTCTGACTGATTGTAATATGAATATTACATGTGGTTTTAGATGTTTTGAAATATGATGTTTCTTGCTTCAGTCCCTGTGACAGGGGGACACTGCACAAACAGATTGGCTTTATCAGTCTCCTGACACAGACGGCACTCTGATCGCCAGCCTTGTAATCTCACTGATAACACTACAGCTTGGCAGTCACTGCCACACAAAATTATTTTTGCTGAAAAGAACAAATCAACAGAAAACTGTCAGTAATCTGAGGAATTTGGACACAGAAATAAGGGATGATCTTTTTATTTTTTACCATGAAAAAAGACAAATACAAAATATGTTTTCATTCAAAACTAAGGCAGACTTATGGTTGTCTCTCATATAATAATAATAACAATAATAATAATAATAATAACAACAATATGGATGTTTCAACTTCCTCACTAATATTCTTGCGGTTTGTGACAGAAACTCTGTTTTCTCTTTAGTTGAGGGAAAAAAAAATGTATTTCCAAGAACAGCTGGAGCGTTCACTTTTGACAAATAGCTGCTGACCAGACGTCCTTGCAGATGCAGGTGGAACTTGGCACAATGTTTATTTTTTCTACTACTGAAAATGGGAAAATAGGACTTGTGTTCGGTATGCCAAAAGGTTCCCAGAAAAGGTTTTTTTTAATGTGTGGCTCTAGTTGTGCGCAAACAGGGGTCATGCGGTACACGATGGAGCCAAAGGTTTTCACACGGTTCCATAGATCAACAGGTGGCGGTAACGTGTCAAGAAACACACACGGTTCCTAGCTACCGGATGTTCCATATTCACCCCATAATCAATAGCTCACTACGTGCGTCTGTGGGCCTTTTGGTTCTGGGCAGTAGCTTCAGTAAGTTTTTAGAGCATTTTAGACAAAAATAGTGTTCTGCTGCAGCCCAAACAGATGGCACGGGAGTGGTGAGAGTCACCCAAAACAGCAAAGTTGCAGGCTGGAAAATCAACACAATGAGCTGAAAGACACCAAAACACTTCCTACTGGTTAATTTAAAAATTCTGTAGAAACTTGTCACAATCATGAAGAAATAAGGGATTACTTAGTAACTATTTAGAATGATATATTGCTTTACTCATTTATTTATTTAACCTTTATTTAAATTTACATAAAAAGACTCACTGAGATTAATAATCTCCAGGCCAGAGAGTCCAGGCCAAGACAGGCAGCAGCACAAATAACACCGTTTCAGACACAAGACAAACCTCAATCTATTTAAAATGAAAACAATGAACAAACTACAGAATTATAAAAGATATCAAAACATTCATCAACATTCAAAACGACTACAGCCAGATGTACCTGCATCCGAGTCACTTTATTGCATCCAAAGAGACCAGCTCCCGAAGAGTCAGGTGATTATGTAACGGATTAAAAGCCGAGGGAACCGCCTACATACAACACTTTTTTTCCTTCAGTTCAGTATGGACTTTCGGGACAGTTAATAGAAATAAATCCTGGGAGCGAAGACAATAACTTTCCGATTGACGTTTATGAAGTAATCATTTACCTGATGATTCATTAATACTGTATCTCCCAGCCTTAAGTAAACCATCATTATCTACTATATAGTCCTCCACTTGGAGTTTTTTACTACCTATTAACGATTTATTAATAATCAGATTGTCCTCACTAAATCCCTAATAACTACTCACAATTTTGTGTACTGTATTGTCAAGTGTTAAGAGGTAAATATATTTAAATTTACTGCAAGTGGAAGATTTTCTGTCAGTGAACATGGCAAAATAGGATAACATCAAAATGTAAATTCTGTTTTAAGGTGGAATTCGCTATTAAACAGGACCCTGCCGCAGGGGTGAGACTGGAGTTACACCATGACTCACATTCCAACTTCTAAGCCCTAGGGTCTACAGTCTACCTCCAGCTCCTGCATTTGCACTGTTCCTAGAGTGACACTGAACAGCTCCCTCGCCGCCTGAATGGGGCCATTATGGACGTCTGTGTTATGAGGAGGCCCAACTCATACTGCACTCTAATTGGCTGGTTTGACCCAATGGTAAAACAAAGCAGTGAGTTGTCTGTGCGAAGACACGCCCTGTATGCCATTAAAGTTGCTGAACTGAGACACAGGTGGAGGAGGTGGGTGGTGGGGGTGACAACTGTCCCGATGGAGTTTCTCTCCTCCAGTGAGCAGCAACGCTCTGTGAATTTTAACTAAGTGTAAAACTTCTGAAAATGGTAGACTGTGCCAGCTCAGACATTACTCTATAGAGGGCATTAAAAATGATGAACAATCAGCACGGCCCTGAACCTAAATGTAAAGGGACCAGCGATGTCCTCATAATGGAAAGTCAGTACAGTAAATCAGATTGTAATTCAGTATTCCTAAAAAAAGAATAAGACTGCACGTCAGCTGGAAAACATGCCAAAAACAGGAAGAAAGTGCTTTCCTCCACTGATGCGTTGCAGTTAACAAGTCTTCATTAAGTGTAGGAGGATAATTTAACAGGAAACCATTTCGCCATGAAGCCAAGCTGCCTTGTAGAGATGAACTGGCTGCTTCTAATGAACAGGAGGGGGCCACTAACCAGGCATGTGAAATAAATTAATTACCCACACAACAGGACAGCATGCTTTTACCGAAAGGAAGTCAAGACGAATTGCTGCCAGGTGGATTCAGCCCATCAAAATATAAATATGTGGAATATATATGACCAGTTTATGTGGCTTTTACACCCAGTAATACCTCATCCTGAAAATAAAGTGTGGAAAGAAAAGTCGAATTCAGATTTACATTTACTCATTTTGCAGACGCTTTTATCCAAAGCGACTTACATCTGAGGAACAGCATACAAGCATCAACAGAGCATCAAACACAGATCTACAACTGACAATACATACTAGTAAGAGCTCATAGTACACATCACATCAATGGGGTAAATACCTAGGGAAGGAAGTGAGTGAACAAAAAGTGCAATCAAAACAAGATCATTGTAGGGGATAGAAGAAGAGATGAGTTTTCAAGAGCTTCTTGAAGTTAGAGAGGGACGCCCCTGCTCTGAGGGCGTGTGGTAGCTCGTTCCACCATCGTGGTGTCACAGATGAGAACAGCCGGGACTGGGATTGCTTTGTGTGGAGGGATGGCAGAGCCAGGCGGCGTTCGTTGGAGGAGCGTTGCGGCCGAGAAGGAACGTAAGTCTGTATTATGGAGTTTAGGTAGATGGGTGCAGACCTAGTAGTCACTCTGTATTACTCAGATATCCTAAATTAATTTATGAATGGCACTTTCAGAAAAAAAAAGATCAAAATGGATGCAGGAGAGACCTATGGTGCCTGGTGTGGTTCAAACTCTCTAAACATAATCAAGAAGTGTTGAATAAAGATGCTTACGTTGATTTCAACTCTTAGTGTTTTTGTATGTGGGTGTTTTAATGGGAATGTGGATCTTTCAGATCAATTTGAGAAGTACCTATGATCTCTTTCCACATTTTATTGTGCGTCATGTAATGTGGGGAACTGGTCTCGGTCTCGACTCGGTCTCGCCCTCCCTCGGTCTTGGTCTCGATTTGGTCTCAGCCCCTAGAAGTCTTGGTCTCAATAAACTCTGGTCTTGGTCTTGACTTGGTCTTGGTTTGGGCGGTCTTGACTACAACACTAACACAAGCCCAAAGCTCCCTCACAGAGGCCACAAAATACATTATATAACATGTTTTTACAGGCTGAATATTTCTCCCAGTGACACGTAAACTAGACTATATGTGTAAAATCAGTGGCGCTGCCCACAGAGCATCACTTCAGGCAGTCTTAACTCTGTTGCAGCATTTCGTAAAGAATCTCAACCAGAATGCTCACAGCGGTGCTAAAACTGTTGGTAGACTGACAGAAAAAGTATCGCTAACAATTTAAATTAATTGTGTAAATCATTTGTCAAGCAAAGGCGGCACAGTGTGGGGTTTGCATGTGTGCAAATGCGGACTAGGTTAATTGGTGACCCTAAACTGTCCTTAGGTGTGAGTGTGAGTGGTTGTCTGTCTATGTGTGGCCCTGCGATGGATTGCCGACCTGTCCAGGGTGTACCTCCGCCTTTCGCCCAATGTCAGCTGGGATAGGCCTCAGCCCCCCGCGACCCTGTACGCAGGCTAAGCGGTTGATGATGGATGGATGGATTTGTCAAGCAAAAATGCCAAACACTTCCAGGTTCCAGCTTTTCAGGTGTGTGGTGCATTTAATTTCTCCGTTTCATATCTTTGTAAATAGTAGAAGGTCTTTGAATAATGATAATAATCATTATTTGTAGCACCACAAACTGTGTGTTGTGTCAAGCCTTCCATCTATGGGCTGAAACCTCCTTGCTTAGCACCCCTGGACAGATGTCAGGTGACTTTGTACAAAGCATTAGTGAAAAGTGCCTGTGTAGATCTTTGTGTGCCTGGAATACTAACAACCTGGTAAACGTTTGCCATTAGGATGTTAAAGAACTTGAAGAGTATGGATCAAGGTTTCAAGATCACAGAGGAAAAAACACACAAGTGTTTTGTCTTTTGTTTTTTGTTTTTTATGTTTTTTTAATGAAACCAATCAAGAGGCACTGAGTTTTGCAGCAGTGATTTGCTCTGAAAGTACTAGTTCTTACGTAACATGTTACCTTACAGGTTTACATCAGTGGAAATTATGAAGGTTTGGGGCGGACTAAAACCTCAAATTTAAAGACAAAGGCCTCCTCACTGTGCAGGCATGTTAGTCCAAAGACAGTGCACATTATAATCACAGGTTTTCACAAAACCTAAAGCGGCTGAAAACGATCCATCATTTTGGTCTGACGAGAGTGAGGTGGAAATTTGCTGACATGTCCAGTAAGCTGTGTAAAGATTACATCGAATGATTTGTAGCCAATGACGGGTTCACAGTCATGATTCATCAGTTCTGCAGACAGGATACAGCACCTGCAACACCCTGCTCCAAACCTTATCCTAAGGCTGCGTGTCATCATTTATCAAGAGTGTACACCGCTAAATTCGACAGAAGAGGACTGTGAAATATTTCAGTTCTGAGTTTAAAGTCAGAATTCTGTCTCATGCATTTCTAAATGGACAACTTTCTGAGAGCAGCTAGTGACTGTATAAATGAGTGTTTTCCTACCTGTGTCGGGGGTTTTGATGATATCCATGATGACAGAGTCTGCTCCTTTAGTGTAGACAGTGATCTGATCCGTCAGAGGGTGTCTAACCACCACAGACATGCGTTTCCTGGTGGAGTCGAAGCCCAGTGTGTGCAGCAGCTCAAAGCTCAACTTCCCCAGGTGTGGCAGCTCCACGGTCACCTGGTCAGGGAGGCGTCCGACGAGGGAGCACTTGTAGGCCTTGGCAGCGTAGACCAGCGCAGCCTCATCGGGCGACTCGGCCTCATAGCGCAGCTCGCCCTCCTCCACGTTCCACGCCTTCCCGTCGTAACAAGGCGGCATGGGGCTGAAGGTGTGCTCCAGGCTCCCGGGAGGCTGCTCCTCGTCTAGTTTGGTGAGCGTGCTCTCCGCAGAAGGGGACGACAGCATGCTGGAGCATCCCTTGTTGGAGGAACGGTTGGTGATGAGGCTGGAGGAGCTGCTGCTATTGGAGCCTGATGTCAGTCGGCTGGGGGTGAAGCGCTTGATGAAGTCCTCAATGGTCTTAACTGGGGACTTGAGCTCAAACCTCATCCGGACCTGGACGACAAGGAAAATGAGTCAGTCACACCTGCAGCAGCAAGTTGCAGGACTTCTACTCAAATTGATGCAACTACAAACTTTTATTATGAAGCTCAATGTTTAGACTTTTATAATTCATGTGGAAGTCAGTTTAAGAAAGCAAACTTTGATCCTTTTAGCTTTTGCTCAAGGCAGACATTAACACACCAGTACAATCCATCAGAACTGCTTGTCAGATGGCAGAAGATATCCCACCATCCAACACGCAGTTCTGATGGATTATTTCAATGCCTTTGCTCTTAAGAACAAATTGAAACCTCAAAAACAAGTGTGACTGCTCTTAAAAGCTTTATGAATATCCACATCATTGATTAGGGATGCCATTCTTGCCTTCATTCCTGTATTAGACCCAGGCTAAACAGAAAACGCAACACATAAAAAAAACAAAGAGAGAGACTTACAACAGAAAAAGCCTTTAATTTGTAATAATACAACTAAATAAATATCCACCTTTCTCCATCAAAGTGCTGCAGCCATCACTGTGATTACTGGGCGGTGGCAGCCATACATGACAAGACAACATTGGCAAACAAATGGCCAGTTTGGTGAATATTTATAATTGTTCGATTCTTTTGCTTACTTTTTGTGCATTACTTTAGTTTTATTTTCTAATTTAAATGCACTTACTTTACACCAACATCACTTAAGAGAGGGCATTAATGGTCATGATAAAAAGTAAGACTTAAGAATGAACAACAAGAAAAAACATTTCTCCTGAAGCAGGGGCTACGCATCAACCTATGATCAGTGTTAATGTTAAGTTGCTTCTGGGAAACACTTCTTGAGTTTAAGAAAATCCATAATGTGGATTGAATTATCATTTTAGCCCAAAGATGCTCTTGTGAGACCTGGCCCTGCTCTGGTGGCACAGAAGACTACAGTACTGATGAAAATGCACCTCCTGGCCATTATCCTTTAGCAATTCCTTTATCCCAAGGTGGTGTATTACAATAGCAGAGGGAGTGACTCACTTTGAGGACTCCTGGCAGCAGTTTTCACATATACAGATATAAATCATTCAGGTACCAAGTTAGCAGCAAGGGCTTCATAATCAAATGTGAACAATTATATTGGCCGAAAGGACGAAAAAGCACAAACAACAACAAAAAAAAGAAAGAGAAAGGAGACATTATCAAAGCCAGTAGTTCTGCCCAGATTTACATCTCCTTCCATCGTATCGGATAACCTCCACACATAAACACAGAGTACATAAATAATGTGTCACTTTGTGAAGCTTAATCCAAACAGGTTTGTGCCTCTGACTTGCAGGATTGTGTTAGTGCACAGTGTGTGGCGAGGAGAGGATATCACCTCTGAACAGGACAACCACTCCCAGGCTCACTCCAAAACAAAACAAAACACGGATACACAACTGCGAGTGGACCGAGCACATCAAAGATGCAGGCAGCAAAACACTGAAAGCTACGTGCAAAATGAGACTTTGGGGGGTTTTTGTGCTTTTGAGACTGTTTTTTTTATAGGAAAAGTAGTCAAAACATGCAAGACATTGAATTCTTTTTGTTAAAAGATGGAAACTACTCCCATGTTGTGCAACATTAGAGAGGCCCAGATTTATCCTATGGTGACCATAATGATAATGATAATTTAGCAGAAATGTGTTTTTGTTTGTTAATAATTATGCATGTCCCTGAGACAGGACAAGGACCCACTGCATGTCATACCGCCTGTCTCCAAATATCTAAACCAGGATCACTGAACTAAGAAACATAAATATGTGCTTGAAATATAGTTACGTTATAATGAATGCAATAAATATCAACTATCTGGCAGCCTCAATCAAGTCTCAATCATTTCTAAATGGTAAAAGGCAACCCCTTATTGACCAGAAGAAGGTTTGACAGGCTTGAAGGTTTTACCTTATGTCTGGGCTGGTTGGGCGAAGACACCACCACCGTGTTGCAGATGGTGAGAGCGATGAAGAAATCTATGATGTCAGCGAGATCAGAGGGAAGCTGGGACATGGGCTGGCTGTGGAAGCGCATGAAGTCCATCTGGCTGCTGCATTCATTGACTTTGTCTAGGAGCTGAGGGTCGGGGGTGATATCTTTCTCCTGCAGGACAGATGAGGGTTTATCAGTGGAGAACACACAGCACAGAGTACGAGGACGGCGTGACAGTGAGGTGCACTGACCATGGGGCTGCTGAAGGCCGTGTGCTTAGACAGGATGCTGGCTCGCTTGGCCTCCGCCCTACTGCCCGTCCTGCGGTGGGACTTCGTGCTCTGGGAGCGTAGCACCACCCGGGTGCTCTGGTGGCTGGTCACACTGTCCCGCCTAGGCAGGGTGCCACCATGAGACGTACATTCTTCTTCCTCAGAATCCATCTCCTGGTACATAGCGAGTCTTCTAGCTGGATAACATGCACACGCACACACGTCATTAAGAGTGACTTTAAAAGGTAATGACTTCTAGCTGTTTTTGTAAGGGAGTATGTGTCTGCTGGCTTGTCTCACCATTGGCATCATGGGAGTACTCCACCCCTGCCACAGTGCAACGGCGAAACACCATCTTGTTCTCTGTCAGCGTGCCTGTCTTGTCAGAGAAGATGTATTGCATCTGGCCAAGATCCTCTGTGATATTAAGAGCTCTGCACTGCAGGTGAGAGTCTGTCTCCTCATCATACAGATCCATGTCCTGATGGATGAAGTACACTTGGCAGATCTTGACAATCTCAATCGACACAAAAAGGGAGATGGGTATCAGCACCTAGGAGAGGACAGAGTTTTTTTTTAGAGAAGAGGTAGAGCTGGTTATCAGTTTTTCCACCCTAGTACTGTGAGAAATTTAAAGAAAATACATTTTAGAGCAGAGATTCCCAACCTGAGGAAACTTGTACCCCAAGGGTACTTCTGCAGTTTCTTGGGGGTTTGTGGAAAGATTATGAAGTAGCTCAACCAATTTGAAAAAAATAAATCACAATTTGAAAAAATATATCCACATATTAAGTCAACTGCAACACCTGGACACTACAAGTAGAGCGAGTGGGAAAACTAGTTAGCGAGTGAGCATTAGTTGAAAGGGTTAGCTAAAAGTAATGGAGAAATTATTAAAACAGATCAAATTAATAGATTATCAGTTGAAATAGTTAGCCAAAAGTAATGGATAAATGGTTGAATCGGATAGTTAGCTAAAAGAAATGGTTAAAAAAGGTAGCAAAGTAATTGAATAACGGTTAAGCTAAAATGAATAGCTTTACAGGTGAAATGGTTAGCTATAAGTAATGAACAAACAGTTAAAACAGATGCTAAACATAGTTTTTTATAGTTTACAGTTGAAATAGTTAGCTAAAAGTAATGGACAAATGGTTAAAACAGATAGCTAGATAAAAGTAATGGTCAAAATAGGTAGCAAAGTAACTGAATAATGTAACAGTTATAGCTAAATGGCTAAAACAGTTGAATAGATTTTAGTTGAAATAGTTAGCTTAATGGATAAATGAAGTTGAGTTCTTCTGACAAGGCTGGCGGGGTACTGACAAAAAAAAAGGTTGGGAATCACTGTTTCAGTTTCCATAGGTCAAAGTAAATATGTACTGGTATATGTTTGATTGTCTGAAAAAAATGTAATCCCAAGTGAGACATTTACAAGCAACATTTCTGGAAAGCAGTTCTGGACAAATGAGTCACAGCTTTTGGGAGGGCAGTTCAGCCTGCACACTCTCCCTGTGCCTGGATGCCAACAGAGTCATGTGTTTATTTGAAAGTGTGATACTGGTCTCCAACCTCAAACAGTTACTGTTTGTACAGAGTAACCAAACTGCTATCTTCACTGACTTCTCGTTTATTTCCAAGCTATGCGATATCAAGGGAACTAGCAGCAACATCTGACACAGGACACGGTGACATTTTCATTGACATTTTCTAGTGCAAAAAATAAAAAACCATAACAACAACCCAAAGCAAACGAATCAATAGCTGTCAGGGTGTACTTTTTCCTAGTTTGATCCTGTATTATAAAGATTATTTTGCAGTATGAAGCAAGTGCTTCCTCGCTGCTTTTTCCAGATTAAATGTAAAGATCAAGATCTAGAGGTCACACACCCAGGGGGGCTGAAATAACTAATGCCAATGGTTTGATTTACAGCAATGCTTTTGTGCAGTGGGATAAAACATTTAGTGGTACTGTGTGTCTTTTTTTATCTTCCATCTGTGCCTTTGTTTCTTTAAGCTTCTCTCTGTTTCGTACCTGAAAGACGATGATCATAGTAAGGAAGAGATAAATAGCTGACATGATCGGTGATAAGTCTGTCCCCTCTGGACTAAGAACGTCAAACACAGGCCTCTTATCGCCGTACTGAAACATCCACAGCCCATGACCTGTAACAACAACACCACAAGGTCAACTCATAAAAACACTGGAATGAGAAGATATAAATAAAAAGCACAATAAAGGTGGTCCAAAAGTAGATTTTCTTTACTTTTTCACAATAAATAATAAGAGATAAGGGTTTTAAATAAAAATTCTCAATAAAAACCACAACATTTTCCAAAAGAACAGTTTTATGAACTTGCTACGTACCAACAGCAGCAAACAGGCACATGACCAGCAGGATGATGACACACCAGAACACATCTACATTCATCTGTCTCTCCAGTTTACTGCGCTTGTAGCGCGGGCCGTTGTTGTTTAGCATGGCTTTGGTCTCATGACCTGCAAAGACATACGGCGTGTTAGCAGCAGCTGGTCAGAGGTCAATTACAGAGTGTGACAGCTGACAACGTGGTTATTTTGGGGGCTAACCTGCGTAAATGACTATTCCCACAGCCTCTTCTGTGTTGCGGATGGTGCAACCTCTCAGCAGCAGATTATCTTTGTAAAGTGCATCTCTTCTGCCACTTCGATGGATTCTGTCAGGTTAGAAGATGCATAAAAATGAAGTTGCTGTTTCATGTTATCAAACAAAGGCAAAATTATCATAGTTATGTCTTTACATAATAAATACAGGAAAGGAGAGATAGAGTATCTCTTTATACCACAGCCTCCAAGACAACATAAGTTTATTCTGCTGAGCACCTCAAGTCAATCACGCTTTAAAGCATCATGGTCTCCCATCACCAGGAGCCCTTATCTCAGCACAAATTCCCTTTGATGTATCTCACTTCAACTTTTAAGTTTAAAGCTTGTCAGGCTCATCTAGAGTAATCAATGTCATACTCAAGGCTGAATTAAGCTCTTAGCTAGCCCACCAAGGAAGTTCAAACCCCTCATAGAAAAGGCTTTTTAACTAAACAAGAGATGCATGTTTAGTTGTATTAAATGAGGGACAAATGTGCCTGTTGTGGAGGAGGGCTGAGCTTTTAATGTCAGCCTTAATCCCATTACTAAATCAAGGATTACAAGTGTGTTAGTTAAACAGCCCCATAACCTTTAGATGGATGCAGCGCTTAATCATCTCTATTGTAGCTTCTTTCAAAGTCACGCAACTGTCAGCATGTTTACCAACAGGAATGTTCATCCTTTGGCCTCTGACAGCAGGGCGACTGACACGTCACCACCATTATAGATTAATAACAGTGGCCCTGAGCGCCGAGCAGCTGTAGTTCACACACAGCTCCCAGTCCATAGCTCACACACCGTCCAAGACATTGATAACCCTGTGAGACACAGAGTGCTTTCTCTCCCAGAAAGGTGGTGAGATTAGACTTGCGCCATTGGCTGTAATGTAATAAAACACTACTGAGACAACTGCCCACCCCCCTACGCCTCCAACTCCGCTGCTGTGCCCTGTGCTCCGGCGTAGCCTGGCAACTGAATACCTGCAGCATCTGGTCTCCTTCTGAGCTAAGAATAAATGTCATAATCATGTGAGTGCGGGTCAGTCCGACCGCTTTACTGTACATTTTGTATCGTCATCCGCACACAAACTTAGCCAACACAAGAGCAGGCACACCTGGCACCTCTGAAAACTCTAGAAAGGATCAAACATGCTGCACCCCACTGATAAGAATCACCATGATTATGCTAAAGCAAAAAAGTCCAACATTTTGGGAAATGTGTTTATTGGCTTTTTTGCCCAGGACTGGATGAGAAGATCGATACCAGTCGCATGTCTGTAAAATAAACATAAAACAGCCAACAGATGCTAGCTTAGCTTAGCATAGAGACTGGAAACAGAGGGAAACAGCTAGCCTGTCTCTGTCAGAAGGTAACTGCCTTCCAGCACCTCTAAAGCTCACTGATTAACATGTTCTACCTCATTTGTTTAAACCAAAGTGTAAAAATGTCCCTTTGTGGTTTAATGGTGGGTTGTGTGCGGAGCTACTTCTTGGCCGGGTGCAGTGACTTTCTGGAGTCTTATCATCACCGTGAAGTTGCCAGGCAGCCCACGTTGACTTTCAATAGGCGACAAAGTGAAAAAAAGTTTATGGTGACTTATTTAGACATATAAATGCAACAATCACGTGTTGTTGTTAAATATTCAAGCTGGCTACCTTTCATACAGGTCCAGGAACTACAGCTCCAGAAATCAGCTGACAGGGTTGTGTGGGTATTGCTTCAGAGGAAGCACATATGTCTACAAATATGCATGGTCAAATGGGCAAAACTCTGCACAACCACATCCCAAGAAGGCAAATCGTTATCTTGCCTTGGAAAAACTGTTTCAGTCATAATTATAAGTTGGAAACTCCTGGCTTGTCAACAAACCGCAACTTCACATTTCCATTTAGGAGTTTAACATTACACAAAATGTCACTGAATTAATTCAGAGTGAAATGAAAATGAAACTTGAAACCTTTAATGTGAGTTAACAAATAAGAAACTTGAGCATCTTGGGTTTCAAAACAGTTACCGCCACATGGTGGGCAGCACGCCAACCACATACCATGCAAAGCTGGCCACACAAGAGAGTACTCACATGTAGCCCCGGAATCTGTTCAGGTCATTGTTGGGCTTTTCACATTCAATTATGCTGTTGTACTTCAAGGGGTCAAAGTCACAATCCTGCAAACAGACAACAAACAATTGATTATTCTGGCTGCAGCTCCAATTTCTGACCAAATTACCCAATTAAAAATGGACGGTACCCCGTTCAGTTCTGACTAACATACAATACCGTGTGTTACACTAGGAGTTGTTTGTCACATTTAGCCTATCCTCATAAATATAAATAGGGTGGCCATACCTATCTATATATATATTTATTTATATGAAGTGAAGTCCTATTAGTGTATTCCATTATCCACCCCTTTTAAATGACCTGAGGTGATTTTATTTAACAACAAATTATTCAATATATAATGGTATTTCACTGTTAAAAGAAACCAAATCTTAAAATTTTTTTTTATATACTAACATGTTCACATTTTAACTAGATACATTAGTTAATGATTAGCTGGTTATCAAAATGAACAAAAATATAACAAACATTTAGCTTTAGTGAGGAGCAAAACTGGTATTTGTTACTTGGTTACACACAAAACTTTTTTCAAAATGCAGAATACAATATTTTGTTTTATCGTCTTTATATAGGTAAATGCTCATTTCTGATTGGCCGCACAGTGTGCGCAAAGACCCTTTAACTCACAAGTACTGTAGTTTTAGACTTGTGTGTTTAGTGTCTAACCTCAGAACTTTTGCTTCCAAAAGCATCAAACAGAAACCAAATTTGTGTGACGCAGAACCAATTAGATGGAAACAGAGTTGCAACGATTAGTTGATTAATTGTCAAACTATTTTAATAATCAACAATTTGTTTAATTTGTGAGTCATTTTTCTAAGAAAAAAATTATCTGATTCCAGCTCCTCAAATGAGAATATTTTCTGGTTTCTTCGCTCCTTTGTGACAGTAAACTGAATATATTTGGGTTTTGGACAAAACAGGACATTTGAGGACGTCATCTTGGACTATGGGAAACACTGATCGCCATTTTATGACATTTTATAGATCAAACAACTCATCAGTTAGTCATGAAAATGATCAACAGATTAATCGATAATGAAAATAATTGTTAGTTGCAGCCCTAGATGGAAACAGAAAGTCTCACCAGGTCAAAGAAGCTGCGGACGACCTGCCTCTGCTTGAGGTTGGTCTCTCCGTCCAGTGTGGCGGTCTCGATGTGGCACAGGCGGTCGGGGTCACTGGTGCTCAGCAGCAGAACGTCGGCGGGGAGGATCTCGTTACATCGTAGCCTGATGAAGTCTCCCACCTGCACCTCCTTCCAGTACTTCTCCACGTAGCGTCCCTCCGCTCTGCCAGAACAATGAGAGGGCAAACGGCTGGTGTAAGCTGCAGGGTGGAAGATGTGGAGGCATTGTTTTCAGTAATTGATGGTTCTATAAAGAGAAACTTCAGCTCAAAGTCCGTTTATCTGTCCGGGACAACAGATCTGTTACACTTACAAGAGGACAGCCTGTCTGTGATGCTAAAGCTGCTGTGACAAACTTCCAAATTCCACCTAGCCAGAGATATTCCTCACACATTCTTCCTCACTATGTCCATCAAAATATAAAACATGTTCAAAATGTAACTAAGCAGCAACATAACTGTGCGTCTTTATTGGATTAGACACAGATTTGATGGGGTGTAGGTGGATGAGCTGAGACCTTTTTAAGGGTTAAACAAACATGACTCTACAACTAAGGAGGAATGATCCCACTTGTATGACATAACATTGTCTCTGTTTGCAGAAAAACTCACCAGAGTTTCCTATTTTTAGTCCGTGTCAACAGACTGATTCTTCTTACCACAAATGAGCTTGTGGTGTTACGTTGGGATACTGTAAATGATGTCAGCACAGCTTGCTGCGCTCTCGGCCATCAAAGTGCAGAAACACTCATGGACAGAGAATAAGACTAAGCTAATGGTGACTAGGGCTCATTTCTGAACATTGTGATATTTCTGGTAGCAAATATCCTAAATAATGCACCATTTCCAAGCAAAACTCAACAGTCGAGAAGTGTAAGGGGAAACAAACACTTATTTATTCATAACAACCCCCCTGGCATAAATGACTCGCAGGCGAGTATATAAAAACATTCCTGAATTTTGTCACTGAAATGCACGTGGTCTGCATGGTATTCAGACTTCTTCCATGCACTTTTTATTCTACACTGGACAAACGGGTTTTGCACACAACAAAATCAAATAACAAACTTAAAACTTATGACACATATATAAAGTCCCCTTTTCCCTTTATCCATTGCCTGAAAATGGATCAACAGCCCGAGGACAAAGAATAGACTTGCCAAAGTTAGAACACAGAAGTGGTCCTCGATTAGTTCACTACTGTAGAAAAAGTACTCAGTGCAAGGTGTAAAGCATTTATATGAAGGAAAAGCAATTTGAATACATCACCTTGGGCTGTGGAAAGCTTCTGACACTGACTATCCAACCAATTAATCAATAAAATAATTGGCTGATTATTTGACAATAACTGCAGCCCTGAAGCCCAGTGAAGCAGAGGCTCAAATTTAATAAATAAGCATCACATTTTTTTACTCAAATCTTCAGGCAATTATTTCAATTATCCACATTAAAATGTTGAACATCTAATGCTTCCAGCTTCTCTACTGTGAGAATTGACTGCCTTTCCTTGTCTTACGTTATTGTCAATTGAATCTCTCTTGACTGTTGACCAGACCAAAAAAGCAATTTGAAAACCTCCCTTTGGGCTCTGGTACACTGTGATGGACTTTTTTTTACTAGTTTCTGACCTTTTATAGACCAAAAGATCAGTCACTTAATTGAGAAAATAGTCGGCAGATTAATCGATGTTAGTTAGCTGTAGCAATATTCAGTTTCCACAACACGTGTGGTCTGGAGAAAAGGAACAAAGAACATTTTTATATGATGGGGAGATGCTGTAGGTGATGAGAAATAAATCACCAAGAACTAAAACACAATAAATAAATAAAAATCTCGAAAGAATGTTGGCAAACATGGAGGTGATTTTACATTTTATTTGAGTAATTCTAATGAGCGCATGGTTTATGTTTTCTTTGACTTCACACCTTATTAAATGTACACAGCAAACTGTAACCATAACATACCAAGATAGTGCTTCTATGAATACCAAGTCTGTTGGAAATACCCCTGAGCGCTCTCCTTACTGGTGATCTTTGTTTAAAAAGGTCACAGCAACTCACGTTTTTAAATGAAAATGAGTGCTATAGTCCTGAATGGGAGAAATTCACAGCAGCACTGCGCCTTTGGCATTAAGATTATCCAAATGCTATATTATTTTACCGTTTCATCTTTTGTTTTTCTAAATTTACATAAAACACAGCAGAAGTATTCTCTGAGACAAACAAAGAAAGCGTAACGAGGCCAGTCTGATGAAAATTCATTATTTCTGCTTCTGTCTACTGGCAGTCAGAAGTCTGTCCTTCAGCGCTGCTTAAACGTGAAATTAATCTTCCATTCTTTGTGCGTGACCACTAAAGATCTACAGTAAATAGAGCAGTGAAAAGATGGCCCATACAAGTCATTAACTAACTCTCCAGTCGTGGAAGAATATAGCAGCTTAGACGTGCAGAGACCTGGGCCCGTACTGATCAAGCTTCTCAGAATTACTCATAAGAACACTGCTAAGAATTAAGAGTAAAAAAATTCTTGGCTCAAAGCTGTGCTCAAAAGTTAGTTCTAAAGCATCATATTCCTAATTTGAGTGAAGTGTAGGACTAAATCTTAAGTGTCAGTCTTAGTGCTGATTCTCGACTTTGCTGTGCCGCAAACAGGATTTTGGATGACGAAGTAGGCAAGGACCAATCACAGAACAGATTTCCTTATTTAAGTATGTTCTCAGATAAATCCACATTGAATGGTGAACAGACATTTGAGAATTTGAGAGAATACATTATGTACATCGGCTACGTACACATTAGAAATGAAAGATAAAAAAGTTGATCTTTATATGAATTTTACCTTCTACTCCTGTGAAGCTGGCTATTTGCATGAACTGTGTTTACTTCTGTCGGATTACGGGGGGTTTTATTGGGTTTTGTTGGGAAATGTTGGGAACGCGTGACAGTGTGTGGAGCTGTGTGTGAAGTGCCATTATTGTTTCCATGACAATTTGACTTATTGATGGTTGTGACGGGCCTCAAATCATCAGCATTGCTGCATTTCTCCTGTGGCAAATAAACAAAGCATCATCTCAACCTTCAATTTAGCTGAAAACGTATTGCAAGCCAGTGGTGAGATGACGTCCCTCACCAACTGCACTGTCCGACCCCGTCTACTTAAATGCTCGTCGTCAAATAATTCAGAAACATTCTTCCTCTCCTGAAATATTTGTGCATGTCTCTGTCTCCACAGTGCCATCACAAGCCCCTACTGGCAACTCCTAACCACTTGAGAGACCTCTCGAAGCAATCTTAATAATAAATAACTGGGAGTGTAAGAGTGATTCCTAGCTTTAACAAATTTGACAACTTGCTTATACTTAAAGTTTGAAAGTAGGAGTAAATTTCATGAATTCTCAGCACTTAAAATTAAATTGGCAGTTTGAGAAGCTTGATAAATACCAGCCCTGGAGTCCAGAGAGCATCTGGACAGCACCAGCGGATGTTGTTAGCACTGTGTAAAGCAGATTAAGAGCAAAGTATTTACATTCCAGTAAATTGAATTTATTAGTGCAAATACCTGATGCCACTTCAAAATCTGAATTTTTTTAGGATGAATCCTCAAAAGTAAATCATGATAAATGGAAAAAAGCATTTACCAGCACGTGGCCGTTTCCAACAAACACACTTAATTGTTAAACTAATGTAAATATGAGCCTTTTTGAAAAATGGAATTTCCCATATCATAAATACAAGCTTCTTCTGCTGTGCCATGTGACAAGTGTCTGTATGGAGATCAGGGAAAACAATTCTTTTGTGGTTCACCTGCAAGTAAAAGTTCTCCAGAGACAGAAAGTGACAGATTGTTAAAGCCACTGTATATTTAACCTTGAGAAAAATGAAGTACCGCTGCCATGTAGGTCCAAGTCAGCTGATGCTCGGCTGAGAAAGGGGATGTTTTGCACAATACTGCCACGGCAGAAGAAAATTCAATTATGTCCAACCTTCACAGAACAACTTGGGTCATGAAGACTTGGCTAAAAGTGTGGAGCCACTACACACTGAGCCTTTTGACTACCATGACTTATGCTCTGTACAGGGAAGACAGTGCTGCTTTTCATTAGCAAAACACATACCGTGCACACAGGCTCAGGAAAACAGTTATTAGTAGAGAAAGCTTGGGAGAGAAACAGGTTGTCAGGTAACATTCCGACTCACGATTAACAATGACAGCACTAAGGCAACATCCGTATTAGCAGCAAAATGGCTTCACACCTCTCTGTCAGACAGGTGGGCAGCAAACTGGAGATTTTCTGGACTTCTGGATGGTACATGTGATAGGCTATATATTCCTCGTGTGTTTGCCGGGTTTAACTCAGATGCCTGACATTATATTCCCACCATGCTGGACCCACAAACCTAAAGGCTGTCAGCTGGTTCTGAGGAAGTTTGCAAGAAAGGAAAATGTATCTGATTGCTTTTTTTTTGTCTGGAACAATCTGCCTCCATCAGCTGATGTGAATGTGTGTAGCAGAGTGGGAGGACTGTTTGTACCATGAATTCTGATTTGGGGTGGGGGATACCTAAACACACAAGTTTTTTTGTTTTTTGCAACAGCTGGCTGCTGGTTTTCAGGCCCAACTTACCTGCTGTAGACCAGACAATCCATGTGATTTATTTCTTTATCCGACCTGTGTCTCCTGTAGTCCTCCCATAAGTCTTTGATGGCAGTGACAGACAAAATGAAAACTACAGGAGCCAGAGCAAGTTCTGGCTGAAAGGCATTGACAACTGGAACAAAATTCAGCAAAGCGATGAAAACAAAGTAAACATTGGCAAATCTATGAAACTGTTCAAAAAGATTCTTTGGCAGGAAAGACAGCACAGTGTATTTGGTCGTCTTGATCTTGTTGTTTGCATAGTGTCGGTTTGGGTTTTCCTCTCCTTTGGCGTGAGCGTGCAGTATGTTTGCGTGGACAATCCTGGTTTTGTTCTCCTTGCTTTTCTTCTTTCTTTGCCTTTTAACTTTTGAAGCTTTGGCCATCCCCGGGTCTTCGCTCTCCCGCGCCATAGCCAGCCGCTGCTTCAAACTTTCCCACAGTTGAGGTTTTCGTGTCCTCTCACACAAAACAACACAAAGGGCTAGCTATGTTATCATTCTTTTACCGTGGGAAGAGTGTTTTATTCGCCAGTCCTGTTCGTTTATTCACACAAACAGCTCTTTTTCATCCATGTCGACTCCTCTTTTCGCGAGCCAGAGGAAAACTTTTGCCTGTTTAGCTTCTCCTTTTTTTCCCCTCACTGCTGGGAAGGATGCTGAGGTAGTGGGGAGGCATAACTTGGACTTCCCACAGTTCGGCACATGATTTGCAGACAACGTGGATCGGCCTCTGCCCGCGGTCGCGTGCTGGTGTTGTGTGTATAGACCAGCGGGCGCGCGCAGCTGCGCACAAACAGGACGTTCGTCAACGGGTCAGGGGTCGCGCTTCTCTGGAAATATGACCCGCAGGCCCCTCCTCGATCCAACTTGGGTTTTTTCTGTCTCCAAGTGCCACGCGGTGTTATTGGAGTTTACGCTGGCTCACAGGAAGCAACTAAATATCGACACTGTAGGTGTATGCAGTTTTTAGACAAGTTAAACTGTTTGATGAGAGAAAAATAAGTTATACCACTTGAAAAGAAACACTTATTTTTTCTTTGTATTGTCTGTCTGTGATGGAGAATCTTGAATGTACAATTTGAGTATTACTATACTATAATAATAATAATATAATAATAATAATGATGTAAGATAAATCAATAGATTTTTAAATAACTTTGTAGCGTTTTAGTTATTTATTTATTTTAGATGCATTAATGAAACTAAGTAAAAAACCATCAACCAACGTTATTCTTCTATTCCATATTTATATATTTCTATATTTATTTATGTTGACTGTATGTTTGTACGTGTAGCACCTTATCACCACAGCAAATTCCTCTTATGTGTAAAACACTACTTGGCAATAAAGCTCCTTCTGATTCTGATTCTGATTCTGATCAGCATTATTTGTTTTCATTGCTCAGCAGTATGATTTTGGCTACATTAGCCACATTAAAAAAAACAAAACATTATATCTATCGAGTTTTCTTTTTCTTTTCTTTTTTTTTTTTTTTTTTACAGCATTTGTGTTAACAGTTCACAGAATCAACATCTTTCATAACCTCCCACCCCTCCCTTTCTGGATAGTCCCCACAACTTTGCAAAATACAGCTAGTTACATTGGCCACATTAACCAACAACCCCTTTAATACCCTATTGTAATGTTACATCACATTCAACAAAATAGACAATGTTAGTAACTAGCCCAGGCCAGGCTCCAGACAACAGGAGGCCCTAGGCAAGATTTTCTTTGGACATGCTCTCCTCCAGGAGGATTGAAGGGCTCAGACAGGAGACGCTCGCTGACCACACATGCAGGAGTCTGTCTGACATCATCTCAAAAGGATGGCCTGCCTCATCCAAAGGACTCCCACATGGTGTGAAACCCTACTATGCAATGAGGGATGAGTCACAAGTGACAATGGACTGTTGTTACACAGTCAGCAATTTATCATTCCTCACTCTCTCCAACAGTGCTACCTGAAACAACTCAACCAGGACTACCCTAGTATTTAGGCCAACAAAGTGCAGAGCCTAGGAGGCGCTGTTTTGGCCCTCAATGTACTATGACTTTCAAAGAGAGGTATCCAGATGTGCACAGTGCAACACCCTAAAGACACACTAGCAAGAGGAAACTCTGTTCCTCCACAAGGTCCTTGACCTGCCATAGTCCATCACTGCGGTCGACATTTGATTGATGCTTGACAAAGAGTACTTAGTGATAGTAGACTCCGGGTGTTTTGAGGTCGACCAGCTCCACAGTTATAACACAGTTATAACAGCGCCACAATCATCACAAAAATAAAATGACACTTTGGAACCCATGGTATCCCACAGCAACATATGACTGCCAATGCCAGAACATTCAACAGCAGGGAATTTGAGGAGTTTACACCCACATGAGACTTTTCACACATCACCAGGAGCTCCAACTATCCCCAATCGATGGGACTGGCAGAGTGAGCTGTGCACACCGCCAGACTACACCTGGAGAAATATGCTCATGCTGGGGCTGACTTCTATGCAGCTCTCCTCAACGTTCGCAACGTCCCACAGGATGGTGTGCCCTCACAGGCTCAACGCATTCTCTCACGCCGCACAAAGTCTCTGATCCCTATGACTAATTTCATGTTGCTACCCACAGTACAGTCTGATGTACAGTACAGTCTACCTTAGCAAAGATCAGATGATAAATGGTAAGGATGCAAACGGCACAGGGCTATGACAAGACGGCGACAGTGATCACATTTGTTTGACATTTGTTGGGTTCCAGGGTCTGGCTTTGTTTTCTTTTTAGTCATGATTATCCCTAATGTGTTTCACCTGTTTGTTCACACTTCTCGTGTGTGTCGATAATTATAGTTCCCATTTTTATTCAGTCTTTGTTGGATTGTCTTTTGTTTTTGACGCGTGTGGTCTGTGACCAGTACTTCTGCTTGAATCCCTACTTGTTCATTTGCTATGTTTTGGATTTATTTTCATCTGCCTAAAAACCTTGCCAGTTGCTCATTTTTCCTGATTTTGGATTTACATATTCACTCCTGCCCGTTTGTTTTGGATTATTGTTTCTTTTGTTGTCGATGGACTATCTTCTGTTGTCTTATTGGATACTAATTTTGGATCACCTTGTCTTTTCGGACTTTGCCACATTGTTTGGATTTATTTGGACTGTGTAACCATAAGTGTGTATACTTTTGTGTTTTTTGTTAATAAATAACGAAAATCACCCTGCCGTGTTTTAAGTTTGCTATTGGGTCCTAAAACCTGTTTTTGCCTGAGCACACAGCGTGACCTGTAACATAATGATATCGTGCAACATTTTTATCAAATGATCATGAAGTAATATATTCTGTCATATACTGAACAAAATTATAAACACAACACTTTTGTTTTTGCCCCCATTCATCATGAGCTGAACTCAAAGGTCTAAGACTTTCTCTATGTACACAAAAGGCCTATTTCTCTCAAATATTGTTCACAAATCTGTCTAAATCTGTGTTTGTGAGCACTTCTCCTTTGCCGAGATAATCCATCCACCTCACAGGTGTGGCATATCAAGATGCTGATCAGACAGCATGGGTATTGCACAGGTGTGCCTTAGGCTGGCCACAACAAAAGGCCACTTAAAAATGGGCAGTTTCACTGTATTGGAGGGGTCCGGAAACCAGTCAGTATCTGGTGTGACCACCATTTGCCTCATGCAGTGCAACACATCTCATTCGCATAGCGTTGATCAGGTTGTTGATTGTGGCCTGTGGAATGTTGGTCCACTCCTCTTCAATGGCTGTGTGAAGTTGCAGTCAGGTCAAGATCCCGTTGAAAACAACGAGCATGCAGATGAGCTTCCCTGAGACAGTTCCTGACAGTTTGTGCAGAAAGTCTTTGGCCTTTGGCTACGCAAATCGATTGTTGCAGCAGCTGTCCGGGTGCCTGGTCTGTGGCATTGTGCTGTGTGATGGAACTGCACATTTTTGAGTGGTCTTTTATTGTGGCCAGCCTTAGGCACACCTGTGCAATACTCATGCTGTCTGATCAGCATCTTGATGGATGGATTATCTTGGCAAAGGAGAAGTGCTCACTAACACAGATTTAGACAGATTTGTGAACGATATTTGAGAGAAATAGGGCCTTTTGTGTACATAGAGAAAGTCTTAGATCTTTGAGTTCAGCTCATGATGAATGGGGGCAAAAACAAAAGTGTTGCGTTTATAATTTTGTTCAGTGTATAAAGACACAATACTGTGCCTATATCGATTTTACTACTAGGAGCCACCAAAGTCAGAAAATCCTACACATAGGGACATTAAAGTTTGTTACATGGACTTAAAAGACACCAGTTTGAGATAATGACCCATGCAGTCTTAAAAATGTAATCAGCAATACTCACTGTACACCACTGTATTGAAAATGGAAAAGACATTCCAAAAGGAAACATCATGAGCCAGAAGTATTAGTACCTCCACAGACTGACTGGCCACTTAGCCAGCAGGTTCCCCAGAGGAGATAAATCAAAGGCCTATCCCAGGGCAGTCTATAACAATTTGCTACAGGAGTATCCAGCTGTTGGGCTAAAAACTCATGGCTCATTGTAAACTCTGGCATCTTGGCATGGAGAACAATTCAATTTCCCCATGATGAATGACCGGAGTGAGGTGGATCTGAGACAACAGGCTGACTCTGACTTCAAAAAAGCCAGATATTGCACTGAGCAAACAATAAATAGAAATTTAAATCAGGTTGTGCTTTTCAACTAAAAATAAAATCATCCCATACTTTTATCCCTTTTTGGAAAATAAAGTTTTGTGTATCCAGTATTTTTAGGGGGTCAAACATCTCACACTACTTAGGCTATCATTATTTGGTGTTATAATAGTTGCGGTGGTGGGAAAAGAGTTTTAGCTCTGGTTTCCCCCACAAATGTAATTTATGAGCATTTTATTTCACTGCACATAACATGCCCTTCTATTTATTTCATGTGTTAAATTAAATATGCTTTTGGAGTGTTGATCCTTTTCATTTTGTCACTGAGTTCTGGAGTCACATTCATGTTTTCTACCCCAATCACCATCCTTGCTGTGATGGAGCAGTCCTCGGGTCAGGGGTTTCCCATAAATCTGTCAAAGCTACAAAAAAATTGAGAATTTTTTGTCTACTACTTGTAAAAACATTTAACAAATGTAAGTGATTTTACAAAAGATGTTGGTATCTACAGGCCATGGCTTTGAACAGTCTCAGTTTAATACTGATGCCTCTTTATGACCCACGTAAACAAACAAGGCCATCAGCGAGAAGATTGGCTATTTCTATATAGTTATTCTTAATGTCTGTCACTGGGTTCGATTCAGGCTAAATGATTTACGGCAGGCAGACCGGAAGAGCCTATGTTTACATTTCCCCAGGCAGAGTTTCACAGTGAGCAGTATGTTAGCCAGTTAAAAGGAAGCAAGAGGAGATTTTTCTTTAGAGAATTTTGTTTTTGACATTATATTTTGTGGTTATGGCTGATACTGGGGCAGGATGACAAATACCGTGATGTTTAGCAAGCAACGACACAGCAAGAAATGTAACTAACGTTGGCTAGGTTGTGGGTTAGCAAACTGTCGCTACAGTTGCTGCTGTATGGTCCAGTGGTACTGTACTTTAGCCTCTTTTCAAATTCCCCTCAGGTGGTAGGTCACATCCAGGAAA